CTCGGATTTCTAAGAAACTCATACGCTCGTCAGGACAAGCATATGAAGATCTTTTTCTGAACTATTTCATGGACTGTGATGATCAATGGGTTCGGACTACTGATTTCACTCCATCACGTGCTATTGGGCAGTCTTTTGCATTAAGCTTGGAGCTTCCTCATAGTCTTCAACTTCCAGATTTTCGAGAAAACTTTCCTGGGTATGAAGAGATTGAAGGTAACCTTGTCTTGGAGGTTGGTCCCCCGTATTCTTGCAACCCGAGTCTGGGTCCCATGGTTTGTCCCCCTCGACATGTCAATGTGTATGTGCCATATGATATCTTATTTAAGGTACTCTCTCTGCTTCAGCTTGGGTATCTTTCAGGGCCAACACTTGATGTTATATTTTATAAGATGGTTGATCCGAGCAGATTTGATCGTGCATGTATAGAGTATGCCCTAGATAAATTATATAATTTGAAAGAGACCTGCTATAAACCTTCAGTGTGGCTTAATGAGCAGTACAGGAAGTACCTCACGTCAAAGAGACGTCCACAGTCATCTGTCATATCCTTAGATTCTGGGTTGGTATATGTACGCAGGGTCCAAATTACACCATGTCGTGTATTTTCTTCTGGTCCTGAGGTCAATGTCTCAAATCGTGTACTACGCAATTATGCAGATGATATTGATAACTTCATTCGTGTTTCCTTTGTTGACGAGGAGATGGATCGAGTTTATTCTGCAGATTTGCTTCCACGTACTTCTGCTGCCTCTGAGGATGGGAAAACCGACATCTACAAGCGGATTCTTTTTATTCTCAGAAACGGCATAGTAATTGGTGAAAAGAAATTTGAGTTTCTCGCATTCTCATCAAGTCAATTGCGAGAGAATTCTATGTGGATGTTTGCTTCAAGACAGGGACTTACTGCAGCTGATATAAGAGAGTGGATGGGGGATTTTCGTCGTATAAAAAATGTAGCAAAATATGCTGCCAGATTAGGTCAATCCTTTGGTTCGTCCACTGAAACTTTAAATGTTGGAAAACATGAAATGGAAGTTATTCCTGATGTAGAAAACAATAAATATGTCTTCTCCGATGGGATTGGGAAAATATCTGCTGATTTTGCTAAGAAAGTGGCCTCAAAATGTGGCTTTAATGGGACTCCATCTGCCTTTCAGATTCGATATGGTGGGTACAAAGGTGTGGTGGCTGTCGATCCAACTTCATCAAAGAAATTATCATTGAGGAGGAGCATGTCCAAGTATGAATCAGAAAACACAAAGTTAGACGTTTTAGCATGTAGCAAGATTCAACCTTGTTTTCTGAACCGCCAGTTGATATCTCTTTTATCCACCCTTGGGGTTCCAGATCATGCTTTCATGAAAAAACAAAGGGCAGCTGTTCAACAATTGAATGCTATATTGACTGACCCACTAAAAGCACAAGAGGCTCTGGATTTGATGTCTGCAGGGGAGACTACCAACTGCTTGAAGGAATTGCTTATGTGTGGTTATAAACCTGATGTTGAACCCTTCATTTCAATGATGCTGCAAACATTTCGGGCATCAAAGTTGCTAGAGTTGCGGACGAAAACAAGAATCTTTATTCCAGATGGACGAGCAATGATGGGATGTCTAGATGAAACCAGAACATTGGAATATGGTGAGGTGTTTGTGCAATTCTCTGGTAACAGGCATACTGTAAGTGCATCAAACCAGCGATTCATTATTGAGGGGGAGGTGGTTGTTGCGAAGAACCCTTGTTTGCACCCTGGCGATGTACGTGTTTTAAAGGCTGTGGATGTGCCAGAGTTGTACCATATGGTTGATTGTGTTGTTTTTCCACAAAAAGGACCAAGGTAAGAATGTGTAATGCATCATGAGTTCGTGAATTTAGTCCAAAATATCCATTCTGTGTCTTTATGTGTTTGCAGTAGATTATATAATGTAAAAATCAAGAACACTGATTTCGATTGAAAAAATCAATATCATCACATCTTGCAGTTAACATGCATATAACCATTATGTACTTGAGTCCATCGAGTGCAATTTCGGTCGATGTCCTTTCTGCTGGTGATAAACCAGTATGGCTTTGCATTTTATTTGTACAAACATCTGTTTCAAAATTTGGACTTGGTTTCCTTTGTAGTTGCTATTTCTTAGAAATTCTTAAGTTGCATACAAAGTTCTACTTTTCCTTGGTTTTTCTGCATAATCGAGTTCATAAACTTTCTCATAAACATTACTTAATGATTGAAATATTGTTTATATTGTTAGGCCTCATCCAAATGAATGTTCGGGAAGTGATCTTGATGGAGATATCTACTATGTCTGTTGGGACGACGAACTAATTCCTTGGAAGCAAATCAAACCCATGGATTACACCCCAGCACCACCTGTAGAATTGGATCATGATGTCACTATTGAGGTAATACTCTTCAATAAGCAACCGACTAAGTGGCATCGCCCGGGGGGGCTACGTGCCTTTGCTAACTTTTCATGTTGAGAAATGACTTGAATTTTAAAATTCAAGTACTAAATACGAAATTCTTTTTTTTCACATTGTAATTAAGATACCCAATCCAAATTTTGACTCTCTCGCTCCTGGTCTCATTCGTTTCTGTTGCTGGTACATCGTAGTATAGTACTGAACATAATACTTCTAGTGGGAATTTGATCGTTTCTCTTGACCCACAAAAGGAAAAAATGTCTTGATGATCGCTTTGATGTTCTTTTGTTTTGTTTGACTTTGATGTTTGCTTGAAGGGGAAACTTAATTTTAATTTATTTTGATGTATTTGCACTTGAGTGATTCTAACGCTTCGATTCACTTTCCTTTTCTTTTGTCTCATGCCATACAAGGCGGTTTTCGTAAGAAACAAAACCCAGTATACTTGATCTTCATTTTCTTTTGGTGCAGGAAGTTGAAGAATATTTTGTGAACTACATGGTGAATGATAGCTTGGGCATAATTGCCAATGCCCACACTGTGTTTGCAGACAAAGATCCCTTAAAAGCAATGAGCGAAGAATGTATAGAGCTTGCAAAGCTATTTTCAATTGCCGTTGACTTTCCAAAAACTGGTGTGCCGGCTGTAATACCTCCACAGTTATATGCCAAGGAATATCCAGATTTCATGGAAAAACTTGACAAACCCACCTATCAGTCATCCAATGTAATTGGAGCTCTTTTTCGTGAGGTGAAGGACATTGCGCCTCATGAAAGCTCTATCACATCCTTCACTCGTGAAGTGGCGAAGCAGTCATACGACCCTGACATGGAAGTTGATGGCTTTGAGGATTACATTGAAGATGCTATCTATTACAAGGGCAATTATGATTACAAGTTGGGAAATCTGATGGAGTATTATGGGATCAGGACAGAGGCTGAAATACTTAGTGGGAGTGTTATGAGAATGTCAAAATCTTTCACTAAGAGGCGGGATGCAGAGTCTTTAAACGTGGCTGTGAGATCGTTGAGGAAGGAAGCTAGGGCGTGGTTCAATGAGAAGGGAACTGGTTTAGATTCCGGAGCTGATGATGTATATGCCAAAGCTTCAGCTTGGTACCATGTCACATATCATCATGATTATTTTGGTACATACAACGAGGGGCTGAATCGTGACCATTTCATCAGCTTTCCATGGTGCGTTTATGACAAGCTCGTCCTCATCAAAAAGGATAAGGCAAGTATGAGAAGGTCTCTACACATGTCATCTCTAGAACGCCAATTCGGGGATGGGTTGCATTTGAGTTGAGAAAGTTGGAAGTTTTTTATGTTTGTTTCTTGGTGATGGGGTAAGCTCGTAAATTGCTTATGCTGATGGTAAAATTTGAGTGCATTTTGCTTATTGTATAATATAATAATGGATTGATCTTCGGTTTCTTGTTTCTGACACTCGGAAGTTGGTTTGAAAGCTTGCTGTACTTTTCTGGATAGAATGTTTATCGAGATGCAAGTATGCTATAGCATAAGATATCATATGTAAGGATAAATGCTTGTAATTATTTGAGCTTCAAGTTTCTTGCAATGTATGAATTGCTTTGTAAATGGATATTTTATGGAAAGTCTCTTGCAATTTATGAAATGCTTTGTAAATGGAAGCTTTATGAAGTAATTTATAAAATATTCATTCCCAAAGCATTTCAACCGCAAAATCATAAATTTTTATGTGCCGCCTACCTAAAACAGTCACACATCTCTTACAATATTGAAAGTAAGTATAAAATGTTATTTCAACCTTCTCTTTTCTCATCAAATTTCTATAAAGGAGTCTTTAAAGGATGAGATGAATATTAATCAAATTATGGGAAAACTTTTACACAAAAATATATTGCACAAGACATGCAATTTTTTCACTACCGTTGCTACTTTTTTTAGGTACAGATATTGAAGGAAACTAAACATATTAAACTCAGAATATTAACCCACATGTAAAATTGGTTCTGCATTTGGTTCCATCTTTATACTCATCCAAATGAATGTTCAGGAAGTGAACTTGATGGAAATATCTACTTTGTCTGTTGGGACCAAGAATTGATTCCTCAGAGACAAATCCAACATATGGATTATACCTCGGAGGTGGATTGTCTACCCTCCCATTTCCACTCTTCTCATGCCCTCCTGTTTGTATGATCACGGTTAAGTCACGTCAACATTTTATATTCCTATTACTTTTTGTTTTATTATTTCTATAAAAAATTAATATAAAATGTTAACGTGGCTTAACCGTGATCACACATTACAGGAGGGCATGAGAAGAGTATGAAAATAGGAGGGCAGACAATGCACCTCCTTATACCCCAGCACCAACTATAGAATTGGATCACGATGTCACAATGGAGCTATTACTCCTGATCATGTGGCTATGCTCAATTTTTTTTTTTTTTTTCCTAAGGAGTTTATTTGAATTTTAGCGATGGTTAAAAAGTAAAATTTTTTATAATGACGGTTAGTTTGAAATTCTTGGATTATCATGTTGTTGTACAGAATTTAGTGAAATAAGGATTTGTTGTTGTAATGATGGTTTTTGTAGACCGACAAAAGGAAAATAAATAAATAGAAGTATCTTGATGATAATTGGGATAAGGATTTATCAAGTACACACTAGCATTTACGTTTGGTGATGAATTCCAATCTCTCTCCTTTTGCTCCCTTTTATTTTCTTGAATAAGATGATGAAGCAATAATATTCCAGATTTAGTTAGAATCATTTGCGTTTGAGAACAGCTAGCAACTGACTTTTCTCGTCGCGTTGTGAGTTTACGAGGTCGGAAATGTCTAGAAGTTTATCGGTCACTCTTCCGAACATTTCATCCATGACCTCAATTCCAAAGTGTTTGGCAAACATCCCCTCCACTGCAGCCCTTACATGTTTCACCAAAGTTGGTATGTCAACTGGACGACCTTTCAGCCATGCTGCTGGGTTTGACGACTCCATTTTCTCTATCTTAAAACACCCGTTTTTCTTTACTATCTCCTCCATCTCCTCTAACGAGGCTGCATAGTATGGCAAGTTGAAGGAATCCACTTCACTTTCTTCAATTATTCCCTGTGGAAGACAAGGAAATGCAACATTTCTAGTCATCTCTATTTTAACTGTGTGTGTGTGTCTATACATATATATATATATATATATATATATATATATATAATTATGTTATTCTTTTTATTATGCTTGTGGGCCAACAATTATTTTATTTTCCAAAACACCTCTTTGAGGAAAAAATTAGAGAAGGAAAATACATGGTTCTGCTTCAAATATTAAAAATGAAAACTTTTTTTTATTAGAGAACACTAAATAAACAATAGACGTACATTCCAGTTAGTGAATTTTTTCTTTACTTAAAGATTTGTAAAAAAGTTCTATATTTTCCAGCAAAAACACTTATTGGCCTCTTTCATTTTTTAGAGCCCCAGCCTGTGAAATTCTAATTTCATTGTTTTTGTCTATTTGTGATATCCTTTAGCACACACCAAAGTTATTTTAATATTTTCAATGTAAATTATAGGAGCTTATAAATAATGAGTTATCGATTTACCTCTTTTGCCATATCCATGAGGCTAGACGACATACAATTGTACAACATACCCGCTGGGATTTCAGAATAAGGCATCCCTTTGGGGATTCCAGACAAGATCATTACCATCATTCCTCCATGCACAAGCTCTTTGGCCCTAACATTCAAAAAGTTCTTCATGTCCTCGGCAAACTGCGACGCATAAGCATCAACCACTTTATCCGGGGCACTTGTGTAGTGAATCCTGCCCTTGTTCCATGCCGGAGAGTCCTTGTTTTGCAATACTTCAGGCGACTTGGAGATCCAATGAAGACTAGATGAGGTATGTACAAAGTGGATAGACGACTTGGGAAACAAACGGTGATGGAAAGAACCGGGCACGCCGGCTGCAAAGTATTTCCTGTCTTGTGGGAGAGAGGTGAAGAGGGTATTGAAGTCATTCGCCTCTAGGTCGTTAAAGAAGACTTGAAATTCAGGTATTTGATGATCATCAGAGTACTGTTGATCAGCTTTGGGACATGATTGGGATAATTGGGATCGGTGTTTGCGTTGCATAGCTTCTAGTATATCTTGAATTATCATGAAAGTGTTTGGTCCAGTGGAACATCCCAAGTCTGCTAGACAAATGGTGTTTGAAAAAGATGAGAGTTTTTTCATATCAAGCTTCTGCTCAATTTCCTCAATGATTTTTCCCTTCTCAAGATCAGCGGATTCTTTCTGCAAAATTAACGGTACCATTAACCTAATACAAGTGAATTTTTACACTAAATTCATCTAAATTATGAGGAGAATGATTTAAACTTGAATGCAGAAGAGAAGCACATTGCTCTATAAACCAACATGCATGGCTAAGCTCGTATCTGAAATAGTACTAATTCTAAAAAATACCAAACCAAAGGATATGAATTAGTTCCTCTTTGTTATTTGTCCATCCAGCATTCTAATAAACCAATATGTTAATAGTGGAGGTGAATCCAATCTTTATAGGAAAGCAACCAATGTCTAATTGTTAATTTTAAAACACATATTCGGATGTTAATGGAGAACCCGATATGCAAATGGATGGATCTGATTATATTGTCAACATTTATGAAAAAAAGAAAGTAAAACTCCCCAATACAGAATTGTTCTTTTGCCCTTTATTCCCTGGTATTCTAAGAATTTAAGAAAAAAACAAAAGGCAAGATCGTAGGGCAAGGAGTTACCTAGCTAGGCTTGTAGGTAGCAAATATATACATGGGCGCCATACGGTCTCGGCAACAAATGAAAACCAAAACTGAAGCTTGATATAGAAACTATATATCATGCATGTATATATAAACTCCTATTCTCCTTGACCGCATGTTCTAAGAAAATTATGGTCACTCACCGTTCGACTTTAAAGTGCAACAACAAAATTTAAATGATCACCTATTATTGGATTGAGATCGAACGGTGATTGATCACAATTTCTTTGAACCATGAGTATAAGAGAATGAAATATACATGCATATATATATATATGTGTGTGTGTGTGTAGCATGCACATGATCATAATATTAATTGGTAAAGTCGAGGTCATGCATTACATGGCTAGGGTTTCATGCATCCATGATATGCATGATATATATTTACAAACAAACAAAAAACCTAAATACATATAAATCATGGGATTTATACCTGGTAGGAGGAGTTCTTGGAGTAGCTGTAAGTGCCATTTCCACCGTTCATAGGCAGCGAACCTGTGACCGTTTTCGCTCTATTTTCATAATCTCCGTTGAGATTCATGGGATCAGCTGAACCCGACAACATCGTTCGATCCCCTTCTGCCATATAATTAGAAGCTTATAGAGGCAAGTAGATTTGATTTGTGAAGAATGAGATTAGTAGGCGTGGGATTATATAGAACAACTCAAGGACCAAGGGGAACAAATGCTCATGCAACGTGTTGGTACCACCACTGCCTTATATTAATTACAAAGACATCGACCTGTTATTTCAGTCACTCTTAAGTAAACTGGGAAAATAAGTCATATATATATGTTGTGCCTTGGCCCGTTCGTTAGTGCGGAACCGAGATTCAGATTACAACCTCACCAAAATCACACACAGTTGAACAAAATAAAATACAAGAAATAAAGACACCGAGAAATTTACGAGGTTCGGCAAAAACCTGTCTACGTCCTCGGAGAGATATTGCTCTTCACTATGAGAAAAACAGTACAAGTTACATATGAGTTAAATCGACATAACCCAATCCCATATCCCTTGTACACCCACTCACAGAATTTTCCCAAGAGCCTCACTCTACCCCAAGAGTTCTTTCACAAGAGATCTTTCATTCTAGCTCTATTGATTTCTCTCACCCTTACCCATGGTAGAGCCAAATGCTCTCACCATCTCTTTGGATGCTTTACATCTCTTCATCCCTCTACCACTCTCTCTTCACCCGTGCCCCTTCTTATGCCAAATAATTATGGCTTTGAAAAAGCCACAAAACATGGAGCAATTTAAGCCACAAAACAAGGAAACATAATCCTCATCATGATGTTCCCTCATCACTACTGTTTTGTTTCATAGCCTAATTTGGCCACTATCCAACAATATATATATAGAAAATTGTTATTGACACTTTAAAATTTTCATTCGCATTCTAAAGTCCAAACTTTTTATATTTAGAAAGACAAATACACTCGAATAATATTTGAATTTTTTTTTTTTTTTTGTGCGCACAAGCACTAAACTGTATATATATGAACATTGATCAGCATGTATCATTTCCTAGCTTAAACAATTACATATACTCTATATAGGGCAAAGTAAATCTTTCCCAGGGCCAACCATATATATGAATCTATATAACGAGCATTTGTAATTCTGTGCAAAACCTTTGTCATATTGAAAGCGTGCATCTTAGCCATGTAATGAACCGCGTATATGACATATATATGTAACCCAGCGTATACGTTAACATAAACATAATTATAGCCAAGTTAATTGTATTATCACTTCAAATTTCAAGATTGTTCATGAAAAAAAAATTCATGTTTATTATTATTTATTTATATGTCCGTACCATGCGGGTATAAATACACGAGAGCATTGCGTCAAAAGATGCTGCCGAAGACTCTGTAAATTAAGAGAGTAAATGTCATGATATAGGGGTTATAAATTATAACACACCTATGAATACTTACGTACTTGTTAATTATTGGTTTATTAATAACTTGAAAACTTTGAGTTTTAACGATAATGATAAAATAAAAGGTAAAATGAATAGTACCAGAAATGACTTTTTAGTGTAAAAATGAGGTTTTTCTTTAAAATAAACAGTACCGAAAACTTTTAGTTAAAATTTTCTTGTTTTTTTTTTTTTTGTTTTTATTAAAAAGGATCGATGATAATACTGCAGGTTAAAGGGAAGGCGCTAGCTATACGTGGAACTATACATGTATATTTGAAATGTTCAGCTGATCGAGGACCACTTTTAGGGTTTGTTGGGTTTCGTTAATTAGTAAGTACTAGCAATAGTGTATGCGCGTTGCTGCAGGTGTTGAAACTATTGGATGTAAAAATACATTAAAAAACATGTGAATATGGCGTAAAATGATATGTAAGCCAGTTTTGTACTGAGAAGGCAGGCACACATCTTAATCAAAGTGAAAAATGATGTCTAAGGATTAGATCTAGTATATTTCAGCTAATGATACAACTGCCCTTGAATTCCATGTTGCAAACTTGCCTATTGAAAAGCCTCTGAATTTATAGCTTAAATCAGCATCGCACCATTAAATCACATTATTAAATCGGAATAAAAACATTGAAAAACATATGAACTCATGCCCAACTTTGATATCTGAACAAAACAAAGCCTTCAGATCAAAGCAAAAACTGAAGATGGTTAACTCAATTCAATAAAAACTGAAATATGATTACCCTTAAGCATGCTTTTTTTCAGGAATCAGTAAAACTTGAAAATATCCCAAACAGACTCTTATACCTCATGTATCCAATAGAGCTTGAATTTCTAAAGGACAAACTTGAAATCGTATACGGAAGAGTTGTATAAGAAGAGTGTCACAGGTGCCAGCAGATCTCAAATTCATTAACTGAGCAACCAAAATGTACTGTTTTAGCCGGGGAAAGGCCTAACAGAAATAAGCCAAACCATAAAAAAAATACTGAAAAAATTTTCCAGCCCCCTGCTGCACCAACAAACTGTGTATCTACAATTTGATAGCGTTTCTACCACACATATACCAAATCGCATTAATGATTATTAAACTTGACCCTACACTACATATGAAAATTTACTCATTACTCTGACAAATCACTCACAAATCCAAAATAACATAGATATCACTCTTCTAATTTTATCACGACTACCTCAAATCTTATGAATCAAGCATAACCATCACAGCAAGTCAAAGGAAAAAAAGCAGCTGTGGATTTAAATAAAATTGCTAGCACAAAAATCAGCAAGAAAACATGCATTACCAATTAACAAACCAAACATGCCCAAAAAAGGTCCCAAATCACCAAAACAAAACCAAAAAAAAGTAAAATTTAGCCGCAAAGAAAACAAATAATACATTTATATACCTTTAGCACAGAGAGTTCCAAGAATCAGAATCGAAAATCCAAAAATCTGAAAGGGACGGTTTCCCGAATCTGGAAAACAAAATGCATCAGACACGCACAATAACGATCCAACGAAAAAAAAAAAGATCCAAACCATATAAGCTGATAAACATGCAAAACTCACCTGGAAACGCCGGATTAGATCGGTCTCAACCAAGTTCGAAGCGAACCCAAGATGGGCACAAAATTTCTGAAATCAAAGAGCAAAGCCCATGAGATATTAACAAAAAGCGTCCAAAGGGCTTCTTTAGCCAACTCACTTTGCAGCCCACAAATCTTAAGTTTAAATATGTAAAACTGAAATTGCAATTTAACCATTCTACATCACCGCCCTTCCTTTTTTTTTGTTTTTTTTTTTTTTTTTTCTTCTGAGTTTCTTTCAAATCAAACCTAAAGCAGCCTAATCCATGCGGTCCAATAGAAAATCAAATAAGCAAACGAAATGAAAACACCGAACTAACTATAGAAATTTAATTAGTACAAAAAAACCCAGGGACAATGTCAATTCATAAATCACATGTATTCACAGATAAATAACGATCTTGGTATTTGTGAACTAAGGATAAGCTGATTTAGAATCACGATTCGTAATATTAGTCTTCAGACCTGTAAGCGACCAACAATCTGTCAGAACAATACCATTTTGTTTTTCCAATAATCCACATGAGATGAAACCCAAACATGTCAAAAAAATTTGTGCCTTTCAACACATGGATTAGTCCATTGACATTTAGCTTAATGAACCATTGTTCTTTACCACATGGCTGCAATTTTTATATACAAACATAGTCTTTTAACACAAATTTTCAAGATTGTCTGCGTGTTCACCAAAAACACAAAGGCTTCCAAAACTCCAACGACCCTTTTAATTTCTTCTCAAAAATTCAAAATCCATTTTAATCCAAACTGGAAAAAAGCAAAACTATAAAAAAGCACACGCAAATAATTTTAAAACAACTGCACTCACACAGTTTATATCACCAAGAACATATAAAAAAAAATTTAAATCACAATCTAAACTAATGTTTCCTCTCCTCCTCTCCCTGTTTGTAACCCCTGCAGCATAAAACCCAGAAAAATAAACCTTCACACAACCTCAACAACTCCTCTCATCAAAAACTACGAATCCATTTAAATCCAATAATTACCAATCCATATCCGAATCGGAAAAAAAGCAGAAGCGCAAAAAAATACCCAAAAAATTACAGCAACGTTGCAAATACCAGCAAATCAGAGATTTGCCAACTGAAGAACAAAAACGCAAGATTCTCCTTTAACAGGGCCAAGAGAGCACCACAATTGACAATAAAAGGAAACGATTAAGGTTTCATCAAAACAAAGGAAAATCCAAAAATAAAAACCAAAAGAAAATGATTATAAAATATACCTTAGTTGGATCACACTTGTTCCACAGCGGGCTGCAAAGACGCCACCATTGAAAAGAGGTGTAAATCGGCCAAAAACCCAGCCACAACCCAGAAATACCAAACGGAAAAAGGGGGAAATAGCAGGAATTCTTTACCCCAATTAGAGATGTCAAAACCCTCGGAACGCAAAAAATCCCAAATCTAAATAGACGCACAACGGCCCGGCAACCACAAAATCCCTTAAACCACGAAGATCAGCAACCCTTTCCGCGAAAGAAAGCACGGATATCACATGAAACAGAGGATTGGAAGAAAGAACAGCCAAAACGAAAAGAGCAAAAGCCGAAACCAAGAAAAGCAACGAAGGAACAAAACCCTAACTCAAAATGACTCTCGAAGTCGAGAGAATAAGATGAGCGCCTCGTGGAAAACAGGGACACAAACGGAAAGAAAACAGAGAAGCAAGGGCAGTTCCGTCCGGACACTGGTGATCTACAGTGCCGGGGAAACTCACGTTTAGTATATACTAGAAAGTGTGACCCGCGCGTTGTTGCGGGAAGTGTCACTTGCGTGTTGCTGCGGGATTGAAAATTTTATGACAAATTATGATTAAAACATACAAAAGATAATGCATCCAATGATTGTGGACCTAATAATCATGTAAATGTCATCAAACCAAAGCAAACTTTCATTTAACTAAGTTCTTGGCACTTCAATTAAATCTCAAGTTTTAAAAAGTAGTTCAATTTGACTAAAATTATACAGAGTGAGGGAAAAAGACAAAACAAATAGTTGCGAAAATGTGTACATTGACACTAATCCTGCAAGTCAAATATGAAAAATGTTAAGAATGTAGAAGCTTAAATTATACCTAGCATCAGTAGATTAACAATGAAGAAACAAAATTCATACGTTTATATTGACTGTCGCTTGACAATTCAGCATGGGAAAAAATGCAAGAAAAAAATATTGTTAAATATCATGTGAATAAGTGAATAACAGTGAACATTACATATAGCATAACATGAATATGCATGTGCATAGTAAATACTACGCAATAATATGCATAGGCAAACACTAACTATCAATTAACCATTTTAATTAACACTTTAAAAAAGTTGTTTTAAGTATAAAAAGATCTAATACAAAGAATAGAACACTAAATATTATAAAAAATAAATCCATATAATATACAAACACAATGATTATGAAAATATATATCATTTGACAATACAAAATCAAGCAATGTCTAAAGATGACAAAAAGATCCCAAATAGTGTTTTTAACCCAAAAAATAAAGATCCTAGATAGTGTTTCTTACGAAACGTTAGATCATATGCATTGAAACAATTAACAAATTTTCAATGAGCAATACTAAGTGTTTATTACTTAAGATCATTAAGTAATGATTGCTCACATTTTCATCAACCAGTATACGTGCAGACCTGTATATTTATCAGTTGTCATCAGAATAAGCAAACTTTAATTTTTACTGCCTTTTTATACGGTTATCAGTTCTGATCCAAGTAAACTAAAAAAACCAATTATAATTAAAGATTTATTAGTTATAGGCTAAATCAAACAATGATTGTATCTCAAGAAGTGAAAGATAATTAGTTGTGCCTAGTTTTATGTCAACACTTCATATTACATTCAATTTAACTATTACAACAATATAGTGACACACTTAACATAAAATTCTGCCAACCATATAACAATAGTAAATCAAGTAAGTAATTTGCAAAAATTAGAAATGTATCATAAAAAGTAAATATCTTATGTCATACGTGTTAAAATGATTAACAAATTCTTAGTCAGTCGTATCTTATTAAGACTCGTGGCTGAGAAAATAAGAAGGGAGAAAGAGAGAAATGAAACATTACCATCTAGTCTCTTTAACTGTGCAAAACTTAAAATTCACATAGTCAACGGCCATACTTGAAACCAATGAATAAAAAATTAATAAAACTTCATCAGAGATTCAGAGTAATAGTTAAAAATTTGGAAGACCCAAATAAAAATCATTTAGCTATAAACAGTATGCAAAAACGTGAAGAAAAAAAATAAAGATGCACTAAGACCATAATTCATGACTGTTATCCAAAATCTCCAAAGTAAACATACAATCAAATAGATTCCTCTTTATTTTTCATCTCTCTCCCTGTTATTTAGTATTGTGATAAGGTTATGATAAGCAATTATTTTTCCAAAATTTAATAATAATAAACATCACAATATAAGTTTAACATGAGAGAAATAGTCAATCTCTACCTTTGATATGTTGATCCTACCATTCCCCTGCATACTTGATCCTTTTTAAGTCCACCTATTGGCAAAATAATATAGACAAAACTTGTAACACTATTTAAACAAAAAGAGATTTCTCAATCAAAAAAAACTTCAATTTCAATTAATTTATTTTGTTATCAATGCAATATTGGAACTTGCATTTGGTTCAAAAAAGTAATGTAAATTGATCAAGCAAAAGAAACTAAAAATAGAATCTATACCAATTGGTCTAAAAGCATTAATCAGTATGACAATGAAAATTTCATACTGAAATCTCACCTTGTGACATTACCTTATATGTGTTCATTTCCTATTTTTCATCAGACGCATTCTCATTCTCTAGTTTTGAGTTTAATTTTTCTTTCGACTCCCTATGTAGATGGGCTCAACCTCCTTTTGTTTTTCCTAGAATTTTTTCATTGAAATACAAACCTGTGTAAGTGTTTGAAAACCTGTATTGGTTATGGATATTAACAAACTGATAGAGAACTTGTTACATAATATACATACCTGCAGCATTAGAACAGATGAGAAACGGTGGGTATCATCAATAGTACTTGTCATCAACATCAACTTATCATCCAAACCAGCATTTGATTTCTTTTATTCTTCATCATCTATGATATATATGAATAATAGATCTCAAAAGAATGAAAAAAAAAAAAAACAAACAAAATATGGTCGACATTGCTTTATAATTTCGTATCAATATGGCATGAAAACTTGGTTGATTCATTTGTGAACTAAATTAAAAACAAACTTAAACGATAATTTAGTGATGAGAGGTTGATTATTCAATGATAAACTACATATGCACACCGCTGTCTACTTAAGGTGAGCAATTTGAAGATTCTATACCTCAAGCATCTGGAACCGTACATACAAAAGCGGCAAAAACGATGGCCACTGCTTCCTAAAAATAAAAAACCAAATCATATACCCACACTAAAAATCCATATACAACACAACCCCAAAATTAATTATCACCAATTTTTTTTTACAGAAAATAGATCTGCAAACTAAACACGACCCAAAAAAATTTTAAATTTTGTTCAACAAAAGATATAAGAGGAGGAACATAAATTATATACCTTAATCAGAAGGGGCCTGCAAACTTCTATACAAAAACCATAAAATTCGAACGGCAACGTTTCCTGAAATAAAAAACAACCAAATCATACACCCACACTAAAAATCCAAACTCATAAACCATGAACACTTCTCCCTGTAAATAAAAAACAACCAAATCACAACCCATCCTAAAAACCCAAACAAACAAAGGAAACCTCAATAATTAATCATCCCACCAAAAACGAAACAGGACCAAAAAAAAAATTAAAAATTCTGTTGGAAAAAGATTTAAGAACAAAAATATAAATTATATACCTCACCCAGAAAGGGCTTGCAAGCTTGTACAATAAAACCTTAAAATTCAAAGACCAATGTTTCTTGCAACAAAAAACGAAATCAGATCAAAGATCCACACACAAAGTACGAAAAAAATTAAGAAAATGCTCAGCACAAAACGGCAAGACTTGAATTTTACACTAATCAATTTAAAAAAAAATTTCTTGCTAACCAAACAGAAAATAAGATGCGGATGAAGCAACACACCTAAAACTGCGCGATTGGTTTCTCGAAAACAGCCAAAAAAATCCAAAATGCCTTTCTAGACGACAGAATCAAAATCGAAACGGAGAGACAGACGAAGAGATGGAGAGAGCAAATGAAAAGGAAAAGAGACGGAACAAAATGGAAGACATTTCACCACCAAATTTCAACAAAGAAGCAACAAAGCACCAAAAAAAAAAAAAAAATCAAATATTTGGCTTTTGGGTAGTTGAGAAGAAGTGAGATTTAATTACCTGTCAAAGGCTAAATTGGGAGCACGATGGCGCGGCGAAGAGATTGAACAGATGAGGAAGTAAAGATCGAACAGATCTCACAAAGCGAAATCGAAATCGCTAATCGGTTGCAGAGCACAGTTTTTTCCTTTTTGGATTTCTGCGATTTCTGAGGAAGAGGTCGAGAGACTTCTATTGGACACCAGGTTAAAATACACCAGAAGAGTCTGCAAGAGTAAAAACAAAAAGAAGGGAGCACGATGACCAACACGTGTGAAACATGGCACAAATGCAATTAAACAAATCAAGCAGGGGCAAAAAGGGAAGCACACTGCCCTAAAACAGTGCCACCCGAGTTTGGATTTTAGTATATATAGAATGATTTTAAACAAATTAAGTGTACGATTAGCACAAAAATAAATGTGGCCAGATAGACGATCATCATCCTTAAATATATCGACAATTTGGTGAGAGTGAGATTAAGAGCTAGCTAGCTAGGGTTATGGACCATGCTATATTTATATATATTACAGGAGCTTAACATAAAACGACATGACAACATGACAACTTTCTAAAGCTTGAAGCACTAATCTCAGTTTGCCCTTGCGCCATTCTCCATTTTTTTATAGGCTATTGACAGTAACTCTTCATCTCAACAACACTAAATAGATGGCTACTTCTTTAGATATTTTCCAAATTAATGTTGATAATATTTCCTAACATTACCGATATTATATTTAACTTAACCACTTAGCTTCGATGTGGAATTTTATTCGCCATTATATGTAATACATGTGTGTTTGTGCAGGTTTGAATATTAGATCATTCGCTTACGAAATGGTGTGTCCTTAGATTTGTTTTGACTTTAAGGAAGCAGGTTAAATAACTGTAGCCAGCATACCAACAAAATTAATTTGGGGTTTAGATTTCAAGATTATTAACGGTTACCTGAGGTAATATTGTGTTTGTGTTCTTGACTACTTGTTATGGAACACATATTTTACGGGTGCTCTGCTTAAAAAAATATATTTTTTCATCTGCTAAAGCAAATAGTGGTCCTCACCAACCACCATGAATGTATCACCTAATTAAATTATTAATCGTATTCGATGTTGTGATCTGAAATAAAGCACCAATTAACGGAATAATATAAGGAGACAGATTGAATGCCCTCCTGTTTGGATGTTCTTTTCATCATTTTCTATTTGTGTAGTCACGGTTAAACCACATCAATATTTTATATTTTTATTGTTTTTTGTCTTATTATTTCTATAAAAAAATCAATATAAAATGACGTGATTTAACCGTGACCGCACAAAATAAAAGAGGATGGAAGGGACATCCAAACCGGAGGGAAGACAATCTGCCTCCGTAATATAATTAAGGTTGGGGACGAAAGATTCGCTGTAGCTCTAGCTTTGTAATTATATGGCAGAATAGATACAGCCTATTACGGACACGGTCGTAGCTAGGCAGGTGGGTTGGGTGTCGTGGTGTGGGGGATCATGCTTCATATATGTATATGCACTCTAAATTACTAGCAATTGAATATTAATCCTTTGATAAGATTAAAATTCAATTAAAACCTAATGTAAGATCAAATATTAATTATAGTCCTTTGACTAGATATCCACATAAGCATTTATATTTAAATTCATAATTAATTGTTACTAGATACTTAAATTCGTTTTTTTCATTCCCAAAATGCTCATATTAAACATTTGATTTTTTTTTTGTCAAACTAAAATTCTGATTTATTTGGTCCAGATTTTTTGCCATCATCCTTGACTTCCTCTATTAATAAATGCACCTAAATGGAAAACCGTAACAAAAAAATATTAATGAAACGTTAAGAAAAAAAAAATGCAAAATACATAAATATGCAAGTTGCAAAGTAAAGAGTATATACCAAACAATTATAAAATGATTGTACCTAAATAAGTGTATCAAAGTATGTGTACCAAAATATATGTACATAAGTATATAAATGTATCGAAATATAGTACCTAAACATGTGTACAAAAATATATGTACCGAAGCATGTGTATCGAAATATATGTACTGAAACATATGTATTGAAATATTGTACGAAGTATATGTACCAAAATGTATGTACCTGTATAGTTCTCAAAAGTATAATGTAGCTACACGAAAAAAGGCTTCTTGTTGAGATCACTATTGTTGTGAAAAATGGAAAAAAAAAGGCTTCGTATATTTAGGTATAACAATCACCAAATGGAAAGTTTCATTCAGATTAATAGAATTTTTTGAGGCAATTCAAACTAGAAGATGCAAAATCAAAATTCATGAAGTCCAAGTTTTTATTTCGGAGATTGAAAGGAGTTTTTGGAGATAATGTGAGCCTTTGGCCACGCCATGGAGATAAGTGGTGGGCACCGACTCACCGTGGAGCAGTATAGGTGGCTGTCTTGTAGGGGGAGAGAGGGAGAAAGTGAGAGAGTGAGAGAGTGAGAGAGAGATTGAGAGTGAGAGGGAGAGAGAGAGAGAGAGGATCATCACCTTATATCAAATGAGTAATAAATTCAATGCAAATATTTGAATTTCAAATGAGTAATAAAATTTGCAACATCTCTCATAAAAACAATTATTGTTCATGAGGATAGAATTGGAAGAAAGAAAACCATAGAATCAATGTAAAATGGGTAAAAATGATGTGGAATACGCATGATGACATGTAAAGTGGATCAGAGGACTAAATTCAATTCTTAATCTTATACCAGGTATTAATCAAAAGTTGATCTTATTCAAGGATTAGACTCTAATTTCCTATATCTAGAACCTTGTAAAATAAAGGGTGCTTTAGATTTTGGCCCTTATAATTCATGATTCCTAGATAAAAACTCATCTACATAAAACAGTCTAATAAAAGCCCAAATTTAAAATTTGCAGTCACATCGAAATACTATTGACCTTCTAATACAATTTATTTACACCCATGCCACTTTCCCAAATCCTAAATTTATTCCAAATTAAAAGTTGTAGAAAAAGTGAAATAAAATATATAAACTGTTGTATTGCATTAATTGTATACATATCATACCGAAAATTTACCTTTTTGTGATATATATATATATATATTTTGCATTAATTGGGAAGTAAATTAATTTGTTCCAATTATTAGAAAAAAATTATACTAAATCCATATTATATATTTTGAATCAAATAACACTTCTCTAACTTGTAGGTGAATTATTGAAAATTAATTTGTAGGTAGGTAAATTAATTTGTTCCAATTATATAAAAAATATATATACTACACCTTGATTATATATACACAAACACACACTAGCATATGGGCACACAAAGTGTGTGAGAAAATTTTTTATTTTTGTTTTTGAAATAGAAGGAGATAGGAAGAGAGTGATAGAGAATTTGGGAATGGGAAGTTTTTTTTTTTTTTTTTTTTTTTGAGATATGTTAGGATTACATGTAGGTGAGGCTTTGAAAAAAATAGCAAAATTTGGTTGTGTGAAATTACATTTCTACCCCATATTTCTTATTCATGTTTTGTTTTAATTAGAGGGTTAAAATTGTAATTTCATAGAGTTTTGGTTGACAATGAGTGTTTTATTAATTAGCAGAGATATATATATATATATATATTTTTTTTTTTTTTTTTTTTGAGAAAACCTAGATTATATAATTTGAATCAAATAACATTTTTCTATACATGGTAGGTAAATTATTTTTCATGTATTACATATATTAGCCTATTAGGGGGTTTTTTTTTTGGTAAAAATATATGAAGTAATATGTATATGATTGTTCGTAGATAAAAAGATACAATCAAAAGCATGATCCAATTCCTAAGTTTATGCAATATTTTGTTGTTGGTGTACAATATTTTGCATCATTGGAAATGAACATTTCAAATAGTAGGTAGGTAAATTAATATGGTCTAATTATATAAAGATACACACACACACACACACACACACACACACACACACATATATATATATATATATATTTGTCAAATAACATTTTTGTACATGGTAGGTAAATTACTTTTTTTTTTTAATTATGTATTATTACATATATTAGGTTTTTTTTTTTTTTTTTTTTTTTTTTTTGGTAAAAATATATATATGAACTGTAACATCCCACATCGCCCAGGGGAGTAATCCTTATATGTATATTCTCATCCCTACCTAGCACAAAGCCTTTTGGGAGCTCACTAGCTTCGCGTTCTATCGGAACTCCGAAGTTAAGCGAGAAGGGGGCTAGAGCAATCCCATGATGGATGACCCACTGGGAAGTTGCTCGTGAGTTTCCAAAAACAAAACCGTGAGGGAATGGTAAGCTCAAAGCGGACAATATCGTGTTACGGTGGTGGAGCGGGCCCGGGAAGTGATCCGCCCCGGGCCGGGATGCGACAATTGGTATCAGAGCCTAACCCTGGCCGCGTGTGTGCCGACGAGGACGTCGGGCCCCTAAGAGGGGTGGATTGTAACATCCCACATCGCCCAGGGGAGTGATCCTTATATGTATATTCTCATCCCTACCTAGCACGAGGCCTTTTGGGAGCTCACTGGCTTCAGGTTCTATCGGAACTCCGAAGTTAAGCAAGAAGGAGGCTAGAGCAATCCCATTATGGGTGACCCACTGGGAAGTTGCTCGTGAGTTCCAAAAAACAAAACCTTGAAGGAATGGTAAGCCCAAAGCGGACAATATCGTGCTACGGTGGTGGAGCGGGCCCGGGAAGTGATCCGCCCCGGGCCGGGAACATAGAATTAAGCCAACAATTCTCATATTTGATATTAATATGCAATGAATTTTTTAACATTAATGTCTTATTTTTCTTATTTTTCTTTTTGCAAAATCATTAACTCCCTTCTTACAATCTGCATAAAATTAATTATGCACATCAAATATGCAATAGGGTTATTTTAGGCATCTAAAAATGTAAAATGTATAAATTAATATGTAATTAATGAATTCACTTAGGTGGATCCTAGTCCCTTGATTTTTTTTGAGTAAAAAAAATTATGTCGGGTTTTATATGAAAAAAATTGAATTTGAGGGATTAAAGTCATATTTTCAAACTCTCTCTCCAAGTATCACTCTACACTCTGTACATTTTTAGAGCGACAAACCCAGAGCATAAGCTAGCTAGCTTTTGTGCTACAGTTTACCAAAGAACTAAAAAATTATGCTTCCAAATCCACAACGTTGTACATCAAATCTCGAAGGGAGACTGGTGGTGATGGTGAACATAAGTTTAACAAAGAGAACTTTACTTGCAAACTTATCTTCCCCTTCGCTAAGTTGAGCCTAGCTCCGGTGACCAACCAATATCCTGGACCGTCTTGTGGGCCCCTACACAGATGTGACATGTCCACGTACTTCACAAACTTTTGTAACTGCAGCGGCACCGGAGGCCCTGTCGGGAACACACTCGAATCCACAATCACTCGATCATCATCGGGCAGTACTCTATCTCTCGACCAATTACTCCCCGAAATCGATGTACTTATGGCACTGAAGAGACCGGACGATGACGACTTTTGGGAATGTTCCGACGGTGGTTCAGTCCAATTTGATTGGACAACGAAATGATCTGAGACTTTGGAGAACAAGAGCCGAAGATGGAGGACATTCTTTGTGTCATGCTTCTTTACAACAAGCTGGACCCCGGACACTATGAAGGACGCATCTTTCTTGGAGGACATCCATTTGGGGTCGTATTTTACCGGTACAGTGCACACATGGGAAATCTTTTTCCGGTTTATGGCTTCAAAGTAGCGGTCGTCGGCAATTTCATCCGATCCTCGCCATGTTGGTGTGTCATCTATCTTGTTTTGCAACATGAATGGTGTGTTTGACAGATGTTGGAGGTGGACGGCTAGCCTGAGTTCAGGTAACAATAAGGCATTTTTCATCATTATGTACATAGCATGATAACGTTGTACTATTAGGGTTCCTCATCGTGATCAACAAATCCAGTATATCACTTTATTGAATTTTGACACTTGTCATCCCTTCTATCCCATTTTTGAGGATTTGGATCCCATCTAGATCCTATTTGTAAGGATCACAGGATCCTCATATCTTATCCGTTCATTATACATCATGCAGTTAAAAGTCATTTTAAATTTTTATTTAAAATTAAATATAAATAGTATCTAACGAAAATTGATCACGTGATAATTAATTGAATCGCATGTAGAAGTACTAGTACCTGTTAGCTTTCCTGCCCTCAAGATACAAGCGCATCCCCGTGACAGGCCTAAATGCAACCCTAACTTGCGCAGAGTTTACATATAGTTTAGGACCCATCAAGCTGACGTGGATTGCAGGGGACTGAGTCGTCCTATTGGAGGCTGGGCCTAGAGCCAGCTCATTGAGAACAGGAGCCCAAAGTTTGTGGGTTTGAAAGTCCAAAAAGTACTGCAGATCATCTATTGGAGGCTTGTCTACACGTAACACATACAAAATTAAAAAGATAAATTAAGCGATGTTATGAATTACTCTAATTAACAGAAAAGGGGAATTGAATATGGTGCAGTGTAGCGGGCATAGTGCGTTAACTAACTGGGTTAGCTCATGTAATGAAAACTAGTTAAGAACGTAAAGGGCATTACAAATAAATTGAACTTACATCGAAGATAGAGGTTGATGGCATGCGACAGCAAACCCTTGCCTGGCACATCTTTGAGGAGAGAAGTGATCGGAATGAAACTAAACTGAATTGCGTCCGGCATTGATGGAGCTGTGAGAAGCCACTCGTAGTGGCTGCTGACCATCAGATCGCCTCCTTTTTTATAGAATATCACACTAGTACCCTGCAAAATTCATCTGTCACGTCGTCATGACAACTACTGTTAATCTTTTAATTGACTGATTAATTTTCCCTAATGCATGCTCCTTTCATTAAAATGAGTAGTATATATCCATATTAGTAGTGCAATATATAGAACCTACATACATCTTTTGTGTTTGTGGTTGAGAAGCCATTAATGGCCAACTGAGGATCATGAAAGACATTGAATGTCTGTGGTACCTGTAGTTAAACCATGTGCAAATATTATTATGGCTCAAATATTATGAGGATTAAAACTGTATATAACATATATACATATATATATATATGTATGTATATTTAATTTGTTGGTGATGTGACAAATGTTTACTCAATTATCATGTTATATGTATTCATATAATACGGACGTTAGGTGCATCACATGTCGTTGACACTGTCACGTTAAAAAACTTTTCTATACATTTATATACCTTGTGTTTTTGGTCTTTGGATTTGGAGTGTGATGGGGAGAAACTGCATGCCCCTGTAAAATGCTGATCTCCAAGCTCATTCAAGTGATTTTTGAGGTCCGATGGCTGCATGTTTGAAGATTTATCTTGCTTTACTAAGACAACATCCTCGGCACCAACACTCAATCCCACGACGATGTGAGTGCCATATTTCTCAATGAATCTGTCAAATGTGCACACAATTAATGTCAAATAAGAGCAAAATGGTTGTCTGGTATTTAAAGATAAAAGTTCTAGACAAATTAAATTGAGCAGAACGCTAAGTTGCAGCTCCCCTTGAGGGGAATTGGTAAACTAGATTTTGTGTAGTGAAATGATCTATAAAGAGACGATCAACAAAAGTGAAAGCTTCGGTGAACAGCGGTCAGACTATAACAGTCATAAAGTAGCGAAATTCTTTGTCGGGTAAGTAATGCCTCAGTACATGTTTACCAAGACAGACAAATATTCCAAAACCAAAGAATTGGTCAGTCCAAATAAGAACGGTCCACGATGGAAAATCAGCTATAATAAAGAACCGCCCAATTATGTGACTTTTACTAATTTTCAAGCCCCAGTGGAGACATTACATATACACATACACATACACTTCTAGTATAAGCTAGGTTTTCAAATCTCAATGCGGCTGGAAATGTTGACTATATATTTCCTTTTACAAACTATCAGATTGTTCGGAAATGTTTTTAAAATGATAGAAAAAAGGTTTTGATAAAAATGTATTTAAAACTAATCGTTAGTCAAAATTCAAGTTGATCCTAGAAAAACATTTGAAGTGTTTTCTGCAATAAGCATTTGAAGTATTTCCTGCAAGAAGCACATATCTAGTATTTCTTCCAAAATCACTTAAGTGCTTTTGGAAATTAAAATTGATTTCATCAAAAGCGTTTTCAGTCATTTTAAAAGCATTTTCAAACGAGCTCTATAAGATAATTTACACTTAATTCACAAGAAAAATAAAGAGTTGAACTTGAACGAAGACTATTGCTAACCAATTTGACTAAATCAAATTCTATTAAATATTTATTTTATCCAAAGAAAACAGAAATCAATCATGCATGCATGTAGATGGATGGCCAAAACCAGGAAAATCCAGTCAGTAGGTCAGACAGTATTGCAAGATCCAATAATGGCATATATATTTCTCGCCGTCAATTTGCTTATTTTTTATGTGTGTGTGTATATACACAACAGTATATTTTATTGATTGCCAAACAACATCGAGATCACAAGGCACAAATCATAGGCATCGTAGTTTGCATAATTAGTGGGGAAGACACGGGATTTCTTTATAAAAGCGCGTTAATTAGTAACATAGTTGACAATGTTATGGCTAGCTTCTAACAAGAAAAAGAAAGTAGAAAGAAAGTGGTCCTGTATTTTCATGTATAATATATATTTTTTTTGGTACGAAAATTAAGGCCTAGCTTTTGGGGAAAAAAAAAATAAAAAATCTTCATCTAAATAAATTCATAAGAGTTTTGAGTAAAAAACCAAGTATATTTGAATAATTCAAGAATATGTGAACCTTATTTGAAACCAACCATCTTTTTACCTTTATTTTTTCTATTTTATTATCATACACAATAAGATAAAGCTGGAATTGCTCCGTACAATTTTGTATAATATATGTTTAAGTTAAAATCAGGGAGTCTGGCATGGTGGGAGAGTTAGGAGGCACCCAAAACCTTCAAAATTCGCTTCCTTTGGTGAAAAATAACTTACAAGTAAAAACCCTAAATTTCATATCATCAATCTTAATTGAATTACTGATGCATGACTACGAGTACTACAATCTTGTATTCTTTCTTTTCACTTGTAACTAGGAGGCCTTATGTTTGATTTTCGTAAATGACTAATTCGATATCAATTTATTAGATTTATCTTAACTTAAATTATAATTTCATTGTATATTAAAAATAAAAATAATGGTATGCATATATACACACCTTGCAAGGGCAGGAGGATCCCAGGTGGATGGAACGGACTCACAGACATCTTCGGCGAGAACAAGAGGGTATCTATCAATATGAACATTGAAGAATATGATGAAGTAGCCATCAAGAGCCAAGTGCTTGATGTTTGCTGCATCCTTTGCCCATAAACCGCTGTCGAATCCAAACATAGCGTTGAACAGCCCTGATGGGATTTTCCCTGGCACACTCGACCCTTGGTTGAAAAACTCCGACATCTGCATGAATTATACTCACTAATATAAGTAATTGATTAAATTTACGGTAGAACTTTAACCTTCTCTTCGTTTATAATTAATTTGATCCTTTATTATTTGTAGAAAAATAAAGGTTATGTATGCATGTATACCTGATTGAAGGTGAGGATATCGGATTGGTAACGAGTACGATCGCCTTTGTCACATTTAATGTCGACGGAGACGTTCTGAATGGTTCTGAAACCAGGAACTGTGAGTTCTCTTTTATCGGTGTCATTGAGCACAACCAATCTTTGTTTGCCTCCCTTGCAGTATTTCAGTTGGAAATCTGACGTCAAATCAAATCCTTTGCCTAGGCTGTTTAGTGCCCTCTCCGCGATCATGCTATGATCGTCACCACTCATCTCTGTCTAACTGTCTGTCTGTCTGAAACCCAGTTAAGCTTTTCTGTATCTGTGATTGTAGTGGATGATAATGTTGGTAGGAAAACAGTGAAGAAAATAGTTTAAGGAGGAGGAGGAGGAGGAGGAGGAGGAGAGACAAGTAGAAGAGAATAATGTCAAGACTTGGTATATCTTGGTTCTTATTTGAACTGATTTGTAAATTAGGTAGGTTTGAATAAGGTGTTTATAATTTTTGTATAAATATCAAAGTCGTGCATATTTTGTTCCCATTCTTAAACCCTTATTCAGCGAGTTTGACCGCTTTTATTATCTGTGTGGATAGGATTTTTTTCCTTCTAAATTTTTATTTTATTTTAATTTTTCTCATTTTATTTAAACAGTCTTAATTAAGTTATTTCATGTGTTAATTTTTTATATTGGAAGAGAAAAACAAGAGAGAATGAGAGAAATGGGGAGGAGATTTTTGGGAAGATAATCCTACTCTATCTATATAACAAACATATTGAACTTTTTTTGTTTCCAAATTTATTGTTAATTATTAATCATAGTATTGCATTTTCAATCGTGACTGTTTGTTTTCTAATTTTTTAACATGTGATAAGTTTATTTATTTGAAATTAAAAAAAAAGTAAATAACGGAAAGAGAAAAGACGAATATGTGTCGGATCAGTTAGCTCCTCTAGTTTGATTCCTGATTTTTTATATACATCATACATTAGTTTACAAAATTAAACGTGGAGGGTCGACATGGTCTGCAAATATAGTATAATTTTTAAAAGTATCATGAGCGTATGAGAAGAAGATGAATATGGGTTACTTCAGTGTCGTGGTGCCTCAAATATTGGCTTGAGACATTTTTTTTTTTATCCATTTTTACCCTAAAAAATTAAGAGCACCCGCGTCCTTGTATCGATAATTATATTTCAGCTAACCTAACCTCCTCCATCTCTTGGAACAAACAATGGGTGCATAAATATTCACATGTTGTCCATCAACTACACCCTTTGGCTTGATTTTAAGCCTTGACTCACCCTTCGTGAACAAACCTTGTGGAGGAGGGCACACTTTATTAATCTTCATATGTATTAGTAAACATAAAAGAATTATGAATTGAAAATAATTGTGCTATCAATTTGTTTTCATAAACACTAAGAAGCGAACAACCAGAATATATAATTCTAATTCTCATTTGTGTAATAAAATCAATCATTCAGGGACATAAAATACATAATAAATTACATAAATCAGCCAACACGCTTGCAAATCTAGGTTGAACGTCAACTAGCTCTAGGAAGTAGGAAGGTCGGTACGCAATACGTACATCAAAACCCAACCTTTCTTGCAGTTAGTCGTCCAATATCACAATCAACAATATATAACCATTAATAATTGGTATTTGTCGTGTGGTGGAAGAATGTGTTGGTTTCTTATGTCATGGGTCCTAAAAAGAATTCCAATCAATCGTTCGCAACTAGTTTATTATTACAAGTTGCAAATATCCAAAACAATTTAGGGCTTCTGGTTGATAGAGGAGTAACACATACGTTCGCCAATTTAGGCAATTTATTTCCTCTAAAACGTCCAAGTGTTTCACCTAAATAACCACAAATGACGAGTTTCTAGACTAAGAATTCTTACCAAACAAAGACACTAATGAATCATATGATGATAGCTGAACTTTTATGAGTCTTTCTGCTAAAAAAAAGTAAAATGTTATTGCGAAACTACCAATTAAATGCCTTAAAAAAACAATAGCATTGGTACTTCTCTATATACACCACCAGATAAAACCCAAATGCATTTTATTTTTTAAATAAAACACAAGTAATTACAATTATAATTTTCCGATAATTTGCACAAAAATTTCTCCATAATTTTATCTTCGCGTTGATTTCCATATCTGGGATTTTGCATTTGACTTTTGTTGGACCGTTTACACACTTTTGCCCTTACTGTGCGAGATGCCGTTGTCTTAATCTCCAGTGTGAAAACTGGAAGAAGCTGACCAATAAGACAAAGGCAAAACTGGAAGAAGGACGTAAAGCCACGACATTACCTTACTCTCAAGTTATTGACGTGTGGGTTCGCTGAAACTGATCCACTCCAATGAAGTGGTGGATAATATGATATGGCAATTATAAAGACCATAAAAAAAGATCGAACGTCATTTGTAGAATAATTTTTATAAATGTATTAATTTTATTCAGCATAGAAGCTGACACGTCATCTGTTGAATAATTTTATAAATGTATGGAGCTGCTTGTGTTTTAGTTTCATTTAATCTTTTATTAATTTTACTCAGCATAGAAGCTGATAAAGTCAAACAATTTCATTGAAATTTCTTTCATTACCTGTGTTATGGCTAGACACTAGCTCTAACAAGGAAAATGATCCTCTCCGGATTCAATTTGTGGAGATCTTAGGAATTTTCACATCTTAGCCGTTCATCGTATATTTTACATCATGCGGTTAGTTTTTGTAGGTACTATTTGTGTTTAATTTTAAATAAAAATAATTAAATGATTTCTAACCGCATGATACACGATGAATTATTAAAATATGAAAATCCTCTTGATTGGATCCAATTCCCTCTAACAATAATTCTACACTTTTGACCTAAAATATACAAATAAAACTTACACTTGACCTGGCTGATGTATGTGGTCTGGAAAATTATATGACGCGGGACTTTGATAAAGTTGGTGTGTATCTATGCCAATAACTTAATAATGTTAACCATTTTTTCTACTTTTCACTTTGTATGAAATCATTTTTAAAAGATTTAGTAAATATTATTGGTTCGTACAAAAATTGAGTCCTGGACGTCAATCTTCTTGGCATCAGTCAGTGTTCACAAGGAGGGTGTGAAGTGTGAAGACGACCAAGTGATAGAAACTTTGTGTACTTGGTCAATCATTCCAGGACCCTTTTCTATAGATCAAAATATCATCTCCGCTTACTTCTCAAAAAAAAAAAAAACAAATTTCGTCTCCCCTTATGAATGTATAATAACACATAAAGTAGCTAAAGTTTTTCAATATCTACTCTAATACCACCTGAACTTTCAATTTAAATTTTCTTAACTGTTAGAATCTACCACATACGTTAATTTTCATCCATTTTTCTGTTAAAACATGTCATGCTCCCCTTATGTGAAAGGATATTTTGTCAATTCACTTCCTAGGGTTCGTTGGAATCAATTTGTACGAATGCTTCCTTTTTTTCTTTTTTTTTTTTTTTTTTTTTTTTTTTGCGAGGTTAGTGATAGGGATTTTTACCACCTGCAAAAGTAGGGATAAAAACACTTAAAAATACTTGTAAGAGAACAATGTAGTTGTAGTATAAACGGTTCAAGTAAGGTCGTTTCTGCAAGGATTGAATGAATAATATGTATTTATACTAATTCTTAACTAATTATTTGAAAACAAACATTGGAAAAGGTTGACTTTGAATTTAAATGTAATAAAAACGAATTTAATAAAAGTAATTTAGGAAAAACAACTAGTAACCAATTAAGAATAAATCAAATAAAAAAGAAAAGGTTTTGAGAAATAAATTTGGAAAAGCACTAGAGTTTCATTGTCCCCCTAACAATCCTACTTAGTTCTTCTAATTTCTTACGAATTACATATGCATATTTTGAAGGTTAGGTTTTCCTAAAATATATCCTACTTGGAACCTTCAACATAGAACGTATATCTAACATGCAAGACTCATAAGTTTTGTGAAAACCTTTTGAAAAACCATATAACTCTAAAGATGTGTCGTCCATCCTAAGTAGCTACACATATTAACCACAAGAAGCCTTGGTCAATTTTAGGGACAACCCTCCGCCAAAATTGCATCAAATTACCTTTCTAAATATCCTAATTGTCACGAATCATTAAGACAAATAGATAGTTTAAAGCACAGTGATTAATAATTCAAAGTATGCATGCATAATAACATAAGAAAATTAAAAAAAGACTGCATATTCTTGCTAAAGCTCAGGCATCGCCCCTAGCAAACGAAAATTAGTTACAAATAATCATAAAACAAATTATTATTAAAAACATGGATATAAAACACCTTGAAAATAAACTTAAATTGTCAAAAACAATTCTCCAAATAGTGTGTGCGTTCCACTGTAGAGCTAGCCCAAAAAGGCTTATTTATACTACTCTAAATAAAATCCTCCTAGTAAAAGGTCTTAGAATAAAACTAGGAAACCTAATAAATTGAAATAAAATAGGAAACATAATCCTAAATTAACTTGGTAAATCTGCACAGCCACGTTTTGGAGGATGTTGACTCGACGTCCGTTAAGTACGTCTATCCTTGCAGGCATGTTCACAGCTGGTATATGATCTCGTCACTTTAGCTAGATCAAAGGAATGCATATGGAGCAACATTCTGAAAGCTAGAAGTCATCACATTGCTTATCACACTTGTGCGGTACGGGGATCGAGATGAGACATAGTGGGCAACGTCCACGCCAATTCACATCGTTCTACAGAAACATTGACGTTCTTATCTCCTCCTAACGGCGGGTTGTCATTAAAGTGACAACCCGTAAATGAAGGGTAAAATATCGCATGCAAGGGCTCTAAGAGAACTAGTGTAAAGGAGAATCATAATTGACAAAGATTCACATCCTTCTTTGATGACCCATATTGGTACGTTGTGATGGCGCAACTTGGCACATAGAATGGACATCTAAATGCGTAAATATGAAAAACGTCAAGTTCGTACCCATTAACCAACTGTAACGTCGAATAGGTTAGGTGGCAATGGGCCTCAAGGTAGGCCAACATAACTGCGTACAACATTGCATAGCCTTAGGCAGAAACTTAAAACTTGGTACGTTTTCCAAAGTCTGGGCAATCATTTAAATTGCGCTTTATGATCGCTAGGCGAGGCTATTTAGGGTAAATATGAGAATTCGTTGTTCAATTATAAACCTAAAATACATGCAATACTTTATTGAAAACTGTCGATATAAACTCTCCAGCATTATCCAGTCTTTAAGGGATAAGTAGGGCGGTGAACCATTAATCGGCCAGGAGGTTTAGCAACAATGTGTGTGGACAAATATGTGACCAGTATTCCCTTAAATCCACTGTGAAAAAAGGTGATTTCGTATCTTTGTGAGGAATGATATAGAAAATCAATTTTCCTAATAAGCAAGCTTGGCAAAGTGTG